GTGGAAAATAAGGCCGGTGTAGGAGAGATCCAGCAAGGAGCAGCGCAAGAACCGTCCGTGCTGCTTCTTTGGTGGCGCCGAGGAGCGCAGCCTTCCTCAGCGGCAGCAGCGAGTGCTTCACAGACAGGTATTTTCATCCATGCGCCTTAAGAGACCGAGTTCATAACAGCCGAGTGAGACCAGACTGGCGAAAGAGTCCTTTGTCCCTCAACGTGAGCAAAAGTCCGGTGTGATTTCACATCAGGCGCCGCACTAGGCAGCCGTGTGACACCCCCCCACACACACAGCCTGTCCCAGGGGGACCCCGGCTCCCGGGGAAGGGGCAGACCTGCCCAGCCCCGGGCCCTGCCGGTGCACATCGGTGGCTGCAAGAGATCCTGGTTCCCGCCGCGGCCGAGGGGTCCAGTACCGCCTGCATGATTTAGCAGCAGAAATCCCACAGACTCCGGCGATGAGCTGAGCTTCTAACTCACATGGCTACTTTTAAAATCCCACTCTCCTGCGCTGCTCCTGGCTGGGGCCAAACAGCTGCAGACACACCTGAACAGTTTTACTACGTCGAGTATTTCTACTGATGCCAAGGAAATATTTGCAGGATCGGTCCCAGCAGCAATAATAATTGCCGCGGTGGGACTGAAAGGTGTACCATGCAAGCCCCGACACCGGGGAAAATCTGCGCATGCTTTGCCCACCGTGGTAGTTCATTAAACTGCCTTAAAATATGTTTTTGTGGTTTTTTTTTTTTTTTTGTTTGTTTGTTTTAAAGCGCGTATGTGCAGAGACAAAGAGCGTGGGGGTGTGGCAGCGGCAGGGCTCTTTTCAGGTGCTGGCTTTCAGCTAGAAAAGAAAGGAGCTAATCCTTAAATCGGTCTGTTGTTTGAGAAGAAATTATATATATCTTGGATACTTAATTACTGAAAATGTCAAACACATACAACATGGGTGGAAGAACGGACTCATTGTTCAAGAGCTGCCTTTTCTCTTAGCTTAATCCTTATTTAAAGTTTGCATTCAAAATGAATCTGTTTCTGTGGTACACACAGAAAGACCAATTCTGAGAATGTCTTGTGAAAGGTAAGGAAGACGAGATATCATCTGTAATAGTCAAACATCAACTTGTTTAGCATGTTTAATTAGTATTCTTGGCAACCTTAATACTTCACTCTATGCATTTACCAAAGGCAATCTTCCCTCTGTCTTCGTGAAGGTCTTAGATTCAAGTAAGAGGACTCAAACGAGCAAAAACAGTGGTTGTGATCAAATCCAATCATTCCGAATCATTGTCACTATTTAGGGTGTATTTTTTCATACAAAACTGAAAGAAAAAAAAAAAGACAAAAAAAAAAGGAATACCGAGCACCAAAACCAGGCTAAAAATACATCAGGACTGCTTGTTTTGAGCTCCTTTCATAAAGCCACTACTCCACCCTCAAACCCAAAATGGTGGGATATTTAATTTTCAGTGTATTTGATGTCCCTGAGAGAAGCTGTGATGTCCCTCTGTAACCCCGGTAGTCTAGCAACACGGAAGAAGCCTAACGGTGCGTTACTTTATCAGTTCTGCTTGCCGGGTTAAATTAAAATGATGATGAAAAAGCCCATCGCTCCAGCCACTGAAGAGACTGGTAAGGAAATGGTCCATTAAACCCAGATCAGAAGCTATTTATAGAACTAAGGGACTACTCGCTAATGTCGCCTGCAGGCGACGATAAAACCTCTAACAGAGACAGGGCTAAACATTCACACTCTGATTCTTTTCCAGTTAAAACTTCCAGGTAACAGAACGTCGAGTGAAGGAGCTTCGACTCGGACAAGTAGGGCCAGAGGTCTAAATATATCTTTGCTTTGAAAATGAAGGCCCGTTTCTCGCACGAAATTGTTTCCCACCCCCTTCAAAAAGAGGTAGCTGGGAAAGATGGGATATAATTTCTATTCCTAAGGAGAGCACGCTAGGCTGAAGGATTCTTCCCACCAGAAAATGAAGATTTGACTGTTTGTCTCTGAAAGCGAAGGCGCTACTGAGAGATCTGGAGAAGCAAGACAGCGCGTTATCGGCAAATGAATCTCTCGCTATAACGTTGCCATCCGATTGTGCATTTGTTTTCCTCCCCGCACTTCATGTGCCTGCGCGTTGACCGGCTGCCAGCGCTATCTCACCAGCGCAGCAAGCTGACGAATTGCTCTTTAATAAGGCTCTCGTTAATCTCTTCCCCCCAGGAGATCCGTATTTTCTAGTCAGATAAGGCTGAAAAATTTCAGACGGCGAGAGGCGGCTAAATCCCTGGCTCGCTCCCCGTCGGGCCCCGCGCTCCGCCGGACCACGCGCCCGCCCGTGTGCCTCAAGAGGGGCGGCCG